TAACTCCTGAAATCTTTATAAGTAAATTTAATAAAAATTAAAATGAGAAATATTTCTTAAGAGTAAAAAGTACCTAAAAAGTTAACAAATTCATAGAATATAGTATAACTTTTAGAGGTCCCAAGCAGTGGCGGCGCCAGCATTTTTTAGTCTTTGAGATAGCTAACTTCCTAATATGGAGCAAACTCCAAACATTTATAAGTTTACACTTATGTAAAATAATGTTGATTGAAAAATTTTTTGCAAAAAATTATGATGATTGAAGCTTGGAAACAAAAATAAAAAACAAAAATTTGGCCGACACTGCCCCAAACGTGAGAGTAACAAGTTGATAAAATAATTTTTCTACTATTTTCAACTAGACTTATATTCATCGTTAAATTTTAAGTTTCATAGTATTATCTCTCAGCGTTCAAAAATTATGACCATATAAAATTTGCAATTCCTCAAATTTAGGGGGGTTTAAACTTTATAAGGTCATAATTTTTGAACGCTGAAATATAATACCATGAAACTTAAAATTTATCGATATATATATAAGTGTAGCCGCCACTGGTCCCAAGCTATGGAACTATTTTCTGAAAGGCAATTTAAATATGGCAAAATCTTTAACTTCATTTCAGTGTCAAACAAAAAGTTACGTTTTAAATCTGACAGATTAATTTTTAGTTTTGTTTACGAAAAAAAAAAAAAAAATTAACATTACATCTGAATATTTAACTTTGTATTTTTGCATTTTTAAATATTATATGTAATCATTATACATTATATGATGAATATCAGGGGCGGATCCAGGTTATAGCCGTCGTGGCTTAGGCTACACCTTAAAACTATAAAATAAATAATAAACAAAAAAATAAATAATATATTATTCATATAAATTTTTCAAAATTATTAATAATAAATTTTTTATATACATGCATTTACGAAATATTTAATTTGTAAGAGTCGTGTAAATCCGGTTTTAAAAACAATTTACTTCAACTTCGTTGATGGCGTAAACTTAAAAAAAGTATTAAAAACCCGAACTAAAATAATCTATCGGTCATTGCACCGTATAAACTAGCTCTGTGGCTAAATTGACTATAGCCACAAACAACCTGATTTTACGGCAAAGATTACCAAAAATAGTATTTTTTCACTGGTAATATGTTTTTATTTTGGAAACGTGTACCGTAAATACTCGAGGCCAGTGGATAGAAAAGTTTTTGCCTTTTAACTGTACTTATTTCCCAGTCTTTATTTCCCAATCCATTTAAACTATATGCAAATAACCAAAGCGCCTTATTTGCTTTTTAAGTAAGTTGTGGCGGCCCTGCTTTAGGAAAATATTGCTGCAAGTGTTATTGATACTTCTCGCATTCAAACATAAAATCTTGTAAAAAAAAAATTGTTTATAAGACTAAATGATTTAAATAGTTCACCCGCTTTATCTGTTGATAATCTTTTGGCCATGAGATGCCCTGATATTGAAGTTTTTATTCCGAATGTCAAAAAAGATTTTATGATTTTGTGGCTTAAAGGTACGTAAATTCGTTTACAACTATATTTATTTACAATGAAAATATATCATTAACTATATTTACTTATTATAATATGATTTTTGTTCTTACTAATATAAAATTTTTTGAACGTTGTATTTAATAAAACATTCTACTTAAAACATTTTCCTAAATTTATTGAACTTTGAAAAATGTTTTAAGTTGAACCAAATTAGATAGTTAGATTGCTTAAACAAATCATTATTGAACTAAATCATTTTATTAAATTATTTAAGATACTATTTTAAAATTATATATATTTAAAAACAAATATAAACGTATTTTATTTTTTTTTTGCATTTAGATTGGAGAGTAATGGAAATTGTTTGTATAGCTCAGTGGCAATGCTAATTAACAGCAGCACCGATACTCCAAAGATCTTGCAACTTTTGACGTCAATTGAGCTGTATAGTAATTCTCAATATTATTCAAGGTTTATACATCGTTTACCTTTATTTATACATCGTTTTCCTTTATTTATACATCGTTTTGAAAAATATCCAAAAGCTTTTTTATTATTAAGCAGCGTATTATCGTGCTGTGTTTCATTTAAAGGATCTAATTTTTTTCCTAAATTTCAAGGTAGTAATTTCTCTGATATCATTAAGAAAGAGGCATACTTTAATTGCTTTGATAAAACTTTTTCTTCTTTTTTGTGCTAAACAGCATTAAATGTTTTTAAAACACCCATTAATTCCATATTTCCAGATTTTGGCATTATAAAATACAAGAAACTATTGAATGCAAAAAAGATCTTTTTTAAGAAGGTAGCTGGATGTTTATTTTGTTAAACTTCTGTAGATTTCTGTAAAGAATCTTAATTAAAAAATATATATACAATATTTAATTTATTTTGGTACATTTTCGGAACCAATTATGAAATATTGTCTTTGGGGGTAGGTTATATATATAAGCATATATGCAAATTATTTAAATGCAATAATGGTTTAAAAAAACTACGCCTAAAGGCGTTGAGACGTACGCCTCAGTGCGAGGCGTTGAATTTTCGCACTAAAGCGTAAGCCTCATTCAAATAATAAAACGTTCGCCTTTGTTGGTTCAATGAGGCGCTGAATCGCTCAGGCTTTCCTGAGGCGTCGCCTTAGAGGTTGTCCATTAATTATGTCAACAAAATAGGGGGGATGGTGTCTGAACTTTTTTGACAATTGTTGACAAGGGGGAGGGGTTGAGGTAATTTAACGTTGATGTCAACAATTTTTTTTTTTTTTTTCAGTTTCATTGCTTAAATAACGGGAAATTAGGCTGAATTTGTATCGTAGCTTCTTTGTATAGGGAGGGATGGGGGTAATAAAAATTAACGTAATTTTTTAGGGGGTTCTCTGAAAATTTCACAAATCTTTAGGATGGGAAGGTAAAAATTTTAAAAAAATTGTTGACCTAATTAATGAACAGCCCCTTATTTATAATGAACCTAAAAAAGCCATGTATGTCGCACTTGAACTTTGTTTTCACTTATAAAGTCATTATTGTCCGATTCTAGCCCCCGAAACCCTTCACTGCAAGAAACCCTCTGTCTGGTCTTATGCCCCATCTTCTGGTTTTCTGCGCAACATCGAGCTTCGATTTTGGGCTACTCGTAGCTCATCGTATTGCATCGAGCTCCGCTTCGGCCATCGACTCTAGCTTTTAGTTTTGCACCAACAACATTTTTTTAAATTACAGTTTACTTCAAACGTTTTTAAGCAATTTTTTTAGTTCTAGGAATGCGTTTAAAGTTAGTAATTACGAAACAGACAACATAATTTAATTCGATTTGAATTAGTGCGTTCATATGGAACGTTTTATAAAAATCGATTAATTGAAAACTAAAATAAGACTTTAAATAATATTTTAATTTATAGAGTTCGTTTTTAGACTTCGATAATATTTTGTTATATACATTTATTATTATGAACTAAATATAGTTTAGTCGGCGTATGTTTACTTTTATTAAGAAAATGAATGTATTATAATGATAATTGTGGATTCAATAAAATTTATAAATATATCTAAATTATATATTCTGATATTGTATAACTAAACCGTATCTTATACTCATATGCCCGTAAAATTGTATTAACTAATCATTAAACTCATTAAATGGAATTGCAAAATCATTTACGGCTCGCTATGATTGATCACTTCTTTTTTTTCTTTACTATTTTATAAATTTACAGCTTGTTTGTTCAAATAATATTGTTTCATCTTACATACTTTTTCTATCTTTTTTTTATAAAAATTACTACTTTAACATTTTCTTTTTTCGATATTTTCTAAAGCCATAAGATTTAACTGTAAGGTTCAAACTCTAATGGTCCTGAATATATGATCCATCATTTAACGACGATCCACCATGAGTAAGCCTATCCGCTTTCTTCAGTGCCCGAAAGTTCTCTCGGTAGACCTGCTGCATACCTCATAACATTATGTTATGAGGTATGCAGCAGGTCTGTTGAGAGAAATTTCGGGCAATGAAGAAAGTGGATAGGCTTCTGTGGATAGGAGGAAACGTTTTAACTTAATAAACTTTTCGGCAATTATTTGCTTTTTTTTAATTTGTTTTGTCTTTGCATTTGATTTTCACAAATACATGCATACAGGGCCGTTCGTGCAGCCGTATAACATGCATACAGGGCCGTTCTGAGTTTAATAGGGTTCTGAGATAATTAAAGTGTAAACGTGATTGTAAAGACTTTTATCTCCTGCTTGGGGAACTGTCTAGCCCCTAAACTCGCGACGATACCGGTGTGACTGAGGATCTTCAGCTCAACAAAAACCCTTGTATACTCTCGCTCCCTATGGATAATTTTTAAGAAAGACCTTTTATTTACAGCCCCAGTCCTAAAACTGTGGTATCCGGTCCTGAATTACTTGATTAATCTTTATTAAAAATTTAAATTGCAATCAAATATTTTATTCACATATTTTGACTAAATCGACTTTTTGTCGACTTAGTCGGTTTCAAATATGTGTTAGTCGACTTTGATCGAATTAAGAAAATATAGTAGTCAATTTAGTTGACAGTCGAACTTTTCAGTAGTCGTAACAACACTAGTTTTTATCAAAAAAAAATGAGGCGTACACCTCAAGCGCATTGAGGCTTACGCTTCGCCTCACATATAGGAAACCGCTTCAATACGCCTCACGCTTTTTTAAACCTTGAATGCAATAGATTTAAAAAAATGTTTACTTACTACTTTTTCTTGTTTAGAGTGCTTGTTTAAAAAAAAAAAACAATTAGCATTGATTTATGCTTTCTTGGCTTGCTACAAGTTTCTTTTTTTCCTTCAAGTTCATTTATTTGTATAATAACTTGGGGGGTGCACGTGCACCTACTTGCACCCCCCCTGTCGACGCCCATGCTAATAGTATTATATCTTTATTGGAAATAAGTATCAATAATTTGTTATATTTGCAACGAATAATAAACTTTTTTTTTTTTAATTAAATTTTTGGGCAATGAAAAAATATTATGCGAGAATAATGTTTCAATTTACAAAAAATCTTGCGTTGATAATATTTAAGTAACAGAAACTTCTTGTGTAGATAACTTTTTAATCAACAAAAAAATTATTAGAGTTTGAAGAAAAATTTTTTTTTTCCTCTTGCGACCGCATAAAAAAATGTTTTTCCAAATCCACGGTTTCTTGTATTTCTTGAAAGCTAAACTTTTTACTTAGTTTTTTGCGACAAATCAAGCCAAAATACTTTCGAAATTTATTTGTATATAAATAAATGACGGCATCTTTCCAATATGCTAATACCAAAACAATATCTAAAGCTAGTGCCAGATTTTTGTTTGCTTTTGCTTTTTTTAAAACATAATGTGCAGAAATAAAATGTGGTATGGCAGTAAGTGCAAGATATGTTGATACAATCATAGCCGGTAGTATTAGCGACTTTAAAAATGTTTTTCGATTTTGTATTAGCGATATATTATTTGACATATTTCTTGACAATATTAGAGCATAACAATACACAAATATAGAAAAAATAGCTATAAATCCATCAAATGTTATATCTAAAATGGCGTGTTCTTTTGCTTTTATATTTGCTGTCCAAAATCCAACTAAAAAACTGCAAATCCAAAATGTTATCAAACAATAAATCACTTTCTTTTTTGAAACAAACGAATAGTATTTGGCGTTTAGATAAAGTATAAGAAAACGATTAATCGTGAGTAAGACGGTTGTTATATAATATGCAAATATAAAAGTTCTCATTGACACTATCATCCATGTTTTATGTGGCTTTCTAGCAAAATTCAATATACCAAGGAAAAAAAGAATTATATTTGTCAGTATTTCTGTAAGAGATAAATTAAAAATGATTAGTCGGTCAATTTTATGCATTTTCAGTTTTTTAGACTTTAAAAGTAAGTATATGCCAATTATATGCAATACAATTCCAATCGGACACAATGTTACCAAAACAAAAGTGGTATCATTAACAATGTTCTTGTTTTTCGAGTTGTTCATTAAAGTTTGAGTTTTATTGGAAAACATTTTGATTGGTTGTCAACTTAAAATTTGTTGTTAAACGGATTACTTTTCAGCTTGAGTATATTATTCGAATATTTACCGATGATTACTGATGAATACCGATGCGTATACGTGAAGTAAATCTTTTTAACGTTAATTGATAAATAATCGAGAAGGAAACTAAACACGACTTGACCTTTTAAAATACTTTTTTTCTTTTTGATTTAACTTAAGTACTAAAAATTTATTCATAGTTAATGTATTTTTCATTTTGCGTTAATGTAATGTTAGTCACGTAAAAAAAAAAAAAAAAAAAAAAATTAATGTAAATAATTTATTAATAGAGCAATAAAATGTAAGAAAATTTAGAGATATAATAATAAGAAATCAGAACTAAAGCTCACCAATTAAAAAAAAAAATTACTATTATGGAACGTCTTATAATTATTTTAACAAAATAGGGAAAACACCAGATATTAAAACGTAGACACTTATTTAGCTAATTAATAATTGGTATCAACAACGTTTATTTACTTTAAATTTATTTTCAAAATTTTATGATCTTAAATTGATTGAAATTTTTCCAAGAAAAATAGAAATTGTCGTATCTGTTTGTAATATGTATCTTAAATTTTTTATAGCCAATAAAGCTTTATTGGCTATTAAAGAATTTTGTTCGGAAATAAAAATAAAAATTACACTTCTAAAACCTAAAGAATGCATTCAAACAAGTATAATTAAAATATTTAACCTAAAGAATGCATTCAAACATGCATAAATAAAATAATTAACTCGAAGAATGTGTTCAAACAAGTATAGTTAAAACAATTAACTCACAGAATGCATTCAAACGAAAATAATTAAAATTGCTTAAATAGTCAAAATTTAAAAACTTAAAAATAATTTAAACAATTAATTAAAATTAAGTTAAATCAATCAATAAAACATAATATTTATGAAAATATAAAACAATGATGAAGTACTAAAATTAGAAACAAATTATCGTAAAAAAGAGCCACTTACAGTGAAAGAAGAGCCACTTACAGTGAATGAAGAGCCACTTACAGTGAAAGAAGAGCCACTTACAGTAAAAGAAGAGCCAGTTTCAGTGAAAGAAGAGCCACTTACAGTGAAAGAAGAGCCAGTTTCAGTGAAAGAAGAGCCACTTTCAGTGAAAGAAGAGCCACTTACAGTAAAAGAAGAACCACTTACAGTGAAAGAAGAGCCAGTTTCAGTGAAAGAAGAGCCACTTACAGTGAAAGAAGAGCCAGTGTCAGTGAAAGAGGAGCCACTTTCAGTGAAAGAAGAGCCACTTTTAGTGAAAGAAGAGCCACTTTCAGTGAAAGAAGAGCCACTTACAGTAAAAGAAGAACCACTTACAGTGAAAGAAGAGCCAGTTTCAGTAAAAGAAGAGCAACTTACAGTGAAAGAAGAGCCAGTTTCAGTGAAAAAGGAGCCACTTTCAGTGAATGAAGAGCCACTTTCAGTGAAAGAAGAGCCACTTTCAGTGAAAGAAGAGCCACTTTCAGTGAAGGAAGAGCCACTTTACAGTAAAACTTCTGGGCTTCTAAAGACTAGATTGAGGTATTGAAAAATGATATTAAAAGAAAATCTACCAAACTTATGCAAATACCATAAAAATTGTGCTCATTAGAGAAAAGGTTATTAACAAGTTTATAATATTGCCAAACGACAAAATAACTGGTAAGGTGCGGACTCAAAACTTATCACATGCTGCCATTGGAAAATAAAAAAAAATAAAAAAGTACTTAGGTATATTTAACTTGAAATATTAATAAAATGAAAAACTTGTTTGAAAAAAACAATTGAATAACTTATTAGATTTGATACAAAGAAGTGATTGCTGTTTAACCGTTTATTGCTAGCGCTCAATTTAACTTTCACAAGGAACTATGTTCGTAACAGCATTTAACGATGTAACCTAGTTAATTTTGTTTTCAGTAAATGCAATCACAAAACAAAATCAATTTATTGACTAAAGTTAAATGGAAATGTAACAATATTTAAGAAAACATCTACAAACACGTCAAATAACACAAAAATAATTACAAATACATCAAATAACGTCCAAACAAAAAAACGAAAAAATGATATTTTATGTCTGAAGAGATGAAACTGGTACTCTTTTAAAAAAGTACCAAAGTGAAATATATAGAACAAAAAGGAAATAAAATATTCAAGAGAGAATAAAAACCGACACTATTCTTATAACAATTTAAAAAAGTATTGTCACACGTTTCTTCAGTGGAAGATCTATTAAAAATCCGTGAAAGTAAAACAAAAAAGATGTATTGATCAAAACTAATCGTGACTTTTTTGAGGATATTCATTTTACAAGAAATATATACAATAATTACGAATAGAACAGTTCACAACAGTAGTGGGGTGAAATGTATACAATAATTACGAATAGAATAGTTCACTACAGTGGTGGGTTGAAATGTATACAATAATTACGAATAGTCTTCTATATATTTATGTTACAAAAACATGGAAATGACTGGTGTAAACCAACTTAGAAATGATTACCTCGTCTTTCAGAAAAATGCGTACTACGCTTTTCAGTCTAACTTTTTTGTGAATTTTTTTTGTTTGATTGTTGTTACATCACAAAAAAAAGCAATTGCAAACATATTCAAAGACTTGTCTCAAACGCAGATTTTTACCAATTAATGTTCTTCTTTTTATTTTTTTTCATTGTTATTACATCACCAAAAAAAGCAATAGCAAACATATTCACATATTTGACTCAGACGCAGATTTTAATCAATTAATGTTCTTCTTTTTATTAGGTCATTTTAAAGAATCTTCTCATAGTTATTTTTTTTGGCTTATTTTGCAGTTATTAGCGAACCTTGATGAAAGTATATACAAATATGTCAAGTCAAAGCTTCTTCAAGCATTATAAAAATAAATTCTTTCGCTTAAATAAGTCTTTTGAATGATTTCGTTAAACAAGCAACAGAATCATCATTAGCAGCAGCATCAGAATCAGTGCAGGAAAGTTTATTTTGGTTACAGGAAAAAAGGATTCATAATATTATTTATAATTATTTATTATAATATAATCATTAATTATAATATAAATATAAGATAAGCAAAATAAAAATGTAAATAAAAAGTATATTTTAATTTAATCCAAAAAACCAAAAAAAAAAAGAAGTAACCGAAAACTATTAATATATTTGAGATATTTATAAAACCTATTACACAATTATTCAAAATATTTAAAAGAAAAGACAAAGCTAAGTTTATCAAACCACCATCATACACCATTACTTTAAAATCTAATTACCATTGATTACAAGTTTTGATATGAAGAAAAAATTTTTTTAATAGAATAATAGAATTAGACATAATCTCTTAACAATGCGATGCGCACAATTATAGATTTCTTCGGCAAAAAAAAGCCATCAAAATCATTTTTAAACTAAATTCAAAAGTAATTATGATAGACTTCATAATTAAAATAAAGTTGCATAAGTTAAAGAAAACTTCCAATTAAACTTAAAAAAGCTGTCAAGGCGTGCAATTCACACCTGTTGTCTCTCCTACTATCTACAGCATTAAAACTATATTATAATAATAAAAATAACTGATTTTGTGATTGAAAACTTTATATATTTTATTAAACTTTAAATCTATTTATTAAAAGTATGTATACTTTTAATAAAAATTTAAATATTTTATTAAACTTTATTATTTTATTAAATTTTAAATATTTTATTAAACTTTAAAACTTTTTATTAAAAGTATGTAATATGCCGTTTTTATACATTCTATACTGTTTACATTTTATTCACTTGATATGTAATATCTACTGTTTTTATCCATATCATTTAATTTTCACTAGATTTTTTGCCTATTTGAAAATAGTACTTACCTTTACAAATGTTCCAGAAACGTTTTACCACCTAACAAAGAAATTTTATCATAACTATTAAACAATAATTTTCTAGGTTACTTTAAAGCTTATTTTATTGATAAAAATAATCATCATTGTTATTATTCTATGGTAAAAAACAGAATTTTCCCTAAGGGTGGTTGCATCCTGGGCAAACGAGGTTGCGGCGCCCTTCTTCTTTCAGTAATAGTCGCGTATATAAGCATTTTGTTCGACCACCAATACTTTATTACTTGCACCACCTACCAATCTACCATAAAAATAAATATATATAGTTTAATCTATGTAATTCTAAATGAAAACTTAAATAAATATTATTAAATACCGTTATAAAAAGTAACTTTATAATGGTTTTTTTTGAGATTTTTCATGGAAAATTGTTCTATAATTTTTCCAAGGTTGAGTTTTTTTATCTCCTTGTTTTCAATGGATAGTATCGCAAGCAACGTTAATCTTTTTTTTTGTCACCGATATACGTTAGTTAGTTTTAGTTAACTTTAACTTGCTAAAATTACTTTCACGGCAATCTGAGTTGATTATATTGAGTGCTTCTTATAGTAATAGTGTTTTATTAGCCGCCTTCTGCTCACACCATTTGCCAGTAACAGTAGTTATCAAACTGAAATATAGGCTTTTCATTAAACAGTTCCTCCCTATTTATATCTGAAATGTTTTTTACAGTCAGGTGTTCTTATAACATTTTATAATCTTTTTTAAGTTTTTCCATTTGTGTTTTTTCAAGTCAAATAAATTTCCCCCAATTAACTCATATTTGTCATATGTCCATTTCGTATTTAAAAGATGCTTCAATGGTTCCAATGAGGGGCAAGAAAGCATCATTTTAGAAGGATCCTTCTGTGCTAAGGAAGTGACCATTATTTAACTGATGAAAAAAAAATTGTATAGGTTCTTTGAATAACTCCAAAAAACAATATATACTCTACAAATGATATAACTCCGACTGATATAATTACTTTAATGCTGTGGCAACCACAAGGTGTAAATGAGACTTGTGGGTATTCTGCTGAAATTTGAGCTTGAGAAACTTTTCGAATTGCAGCCATATTAGACCCGTTGTTGTAGCCTTGACTTCTACAGTTGTTTAGGTCTAGCCTACTAGACTTTATTTCTCTAATTAGAAGGTTAGAATGAGCTTCACCAGTCAACTTTTCAAACTCTGCACTTCAATAAAGCTTTTTTAGACGATGACTATCGCTTCATTTTTTTTATGAACATAGCGGATGGTTAGAGATGTTTGGTCTTTGTGAAAAAGGTCTGGAGTGCAATTCATAATAACTAAAAAGTACTTTCCAAACTTTACATTGTTCACAGTAGCTTCTTTTACATGCAAAGCTAAGAGGTTAATGACCTCGTTTTGAATATTGATACTTGGCATTTGTGAATGTCTTTCTCCATCTGTTCATTTTTATCCCGATTGTTGCCTAAATCCATTTCTCAGAGCAACTGAAATGAGATGGATATGTCTCATGTATTTATGCTTGCTCTCTTTACTTTTTCCTGTTGTTGAAACCTTACTTTTTTATGAATATGTTTTCAGAGATGAATCAAACATACGACAAAGAAGACAATAAGCTGAATCAGTTTCTGGAGAGTATATAAATCTCCTCTTCACTTGTTCATTATTTCTTGCTACCTTGTGTAAAAATTCATTTAAGAAAAAGCGTTTTTCGGTTTTAGAATGTTCTTTATTGTTCTTTAGGAAATGCATAGGGTTCATTTTGATGATGCAGTCTCTCCTACAGCCCGCTCCTGCCAAGTAAAAGAGTCATTAGATAAAAATCTGAAAGTGTCACTTCTGTGCAAAATATCTGCTGTAGTTGTGATACATCTGTTTTTCCTAAAAAGTTTTAACTTACACTCAGACTCATTGTTTTTCTTTGATGACCTTTCTAATATTTTTGTCTGAAGATCTTACCAGATATTTCTAAGGATTTTTCAACGCATGAAATGTTTGATTCACAAGGTTGTGAAAAACTTGGAGAAAGAAAAGAATGTGTTAGCTTTGGTATTTTACTTAAAACAACTTCATGAGCTGCTTAAAAGTCCTTGGCTAATTTGTTTCTATGAGCACCTGTCAATTTTTTTAACATATTCAATAAATTGATATTCAAACTCAAATTAACAGTGTAAAATTTTATTTTTGTTTCTGAAAACATGAAATCTTCTTAAAATAAATTGCTAAAAAAACTTTGTAAAACAAACTTTAGTTTAGTGTAAATAAAAGAAATCATTAAAAAATATATTATAAAAAACTTTTTAAAAACAAAATTTAAATGGACTAATAAAGTAAATAAATATTTAATACATTTAAAATTTTTAAAAAAAGCAATATTTTTGAAATGTACTAAAAAGTAAAAAATAAACTTTTTCTCGGGACCTAAGGACTTAGTGTACGTACACAATCTAAAATATCACTAAGGGGGGTAGAGGAAGCAACCCGGGTGCCCCCTCTACTCCCCTTACGGACGGCTCTGCTAATCAATTTTTTAAAATTTACGCTAAAATATTTTGCGTAATACAAATGTAGCAGATTTTGTATTAACTAATGTTTTGGCATTTAAACTGAATTTAAAGAAGTTAATATTATATTAATCTAATTTCCATAAATACTATTTAAAGTTTTGAACATTATAACTTATCATAGT